TGCCTCTCCTCCTTCCCAAGACTGTATCGTACAGCAGCACTAATATACCGATAAATTAATCAATAAATGGTTAAAACTCGTCAAAAAATGGCGCTGTTGGCCTCAGTGGCAACTTCTCTAAGTATCATCAGCGCAAGGACGCATTATTACTGTGAAGTTATGCAATGAAGTTAAGCAACCTTTATAGGATTCTAACTATCAGTAAATGAAAGGTAATGCATAACGAAGCTCACACCATTTCGCAGCTTTATAGGATTTCACAGTTTTAGAAGAAGCTGAAGAGCTGGCGAACTAGCAAAATGCTCCCCTACCCCAAAGCCGAACAGCACCCAAATAAGAAAAAAAACTAAAACTATAATGTACTGCTGGATGATGTTTGGTTGGCTAGACCTGAAAACCTCCTTGATTTTTCGCTTCGCTGTCCCCATGGAACTTTCTGGCCTTCTCTAAGTTCCTCTGAAGATACTGTAGCTACCGAAAAAGATTAATTGGACCCTGTTGGCAAACTCGAGCTCGTTAACACCCTCAAATGTTAACAGCATACAGTTCTATGGCAATTACTATAATTATGGCTATAAAGAACCATAATGGTCATAACTAATTATGGCTATAATTAGTTATGACCATCATGATCTATAATGTTGTGGATTGTTTTTAAGGACAACTTCAAGGGAACTGCCATGTTCGCTAGGATAGGGTTTTTTTTGATCCCAATGTACAATAAATTAATCGCACTTGTTAATAGAGAATCAATAAGACTGACCAAATTTTGTGTCCTCACGATTGAGATCAGACAAAGCAAGACGAAAAGCATAGAGTGAAAGTGATTGGCTTGGTGGGCGGGGGGTGTGAAACTCACACCATGCGGATTCGGACGACTCGCAAACACGGCTAATAGCTGAAGAAATAATAGCTATCAAGAAAAAAAATGATTGAATTTCAACCATGAATTTTTTTTACTGTCCATACAAATATCCATAACATAACCGAAAACTATATGGCGAGCGGACTGTTGCAATAACATCTAAATTATTACCTATTGTGTCCATCCAAAACCAGTTGGCGAGGCTTTTACAGGTATGACTGCACTCGGTGCGAAGCATTTTATCCCTGCACCAACATCGTTCCATGATGGGATATAGTTTCGCATGGATGGAACTACCACTTTGCAATTACTGGGAATCTTCCTTCAAAAATCGGCATTTCAGGTTTTCACGGGCGAGGTGCTTTCAGTATTTCAGCGGAAGAAATGTTTTCTATTGTTGTTTTTCTCGGTTTTTTTTCTGTTCCAAAAAAACGTTTTATTTCGCGTGTACTTCTAGGCACTTTTTGTCATACGAGCAGCTCTCGAAGGAACTAAAATTTAGAACAGCGCTTTAGAGGACCTTCTCTCTGGATGGCCTTCACTTCGAGAGAGCATTGAGACCCTTTTCAAACTTGTTTCAAGGTAACACAATTTTTCTATCCGGTCACAGAACGCCAGATATTTTCAAAGGTAGCTTTAGAATTCCTTCTTGTGTGCACACCTTTGCAATCGTGCACATTTCATGGAAGCGAACGGTTTTTTTTTCTTTAAACGGCACCATATGAAACTCTTCAACATTCTAAATTTCGCGCCAGTGAAGGGTGTAGATAGATTGGACGCGATCAAAAAGGAAATAAAGTGATAATTTCCGAAGAAACTGCTTCAACCACTTTCCAACTAAAATATTTTTAGGCACAGAGAGGGCCAAAAATATTTCAGTTTTTTTTTCATTTCCCAGTGAAACATGTGAAAAGTGCTAGAGTCAGTTAAACCGTGAGATGGGGCTTCCTACCGACCAGCTATTAGATACTAGCTCCTGGCGAGTTATACCTGAATGATTGGCGGACCGGTTTCACCTGTGCAATTCCAGCCGATTGACCATCAAATAGGTGACACTCGAGCGTCCCGGCCATTGTTCATATGTTTGCTAAGCGAATGAATGAGGTGAAATAAAAACGTGGACGAGTCGAAATCGACGATTTCCCTGCCTAATGAAGAACTCATGACAAGAGGGTCGTTTCCGGTTTCCTTCGAGCTATTTAAAGGGTACACTTCCCGCAATATTCTTCTATTACAGTATGCCATGGTTAGCGTCAGCAAGGATTTGGTAGCGGCATTTCGTCTGGAAAATGATCTAATCGAAATATTTTCTATTTTGAAAGATGCAGTTGCGTGTCGTGAAATCTCGAATCTCGTGACTGAATTTAATATGGTACACTTCGGTGACATAAAAAGGTAGAACTCGAGCAGTAGAACGGTTCCTCTTCGAGATGAGACATGGTTCTTCTTCCATTCAGAACAGCAGAGGCTTGTTGAGTGTGATGTGGCATATTAATGACTCACGAGGCCAGTTGTCGTACAAGTCAGTGTCTTTTTCATCCTAGACGACGTACCCGTTCCTGAGGGTAAAAGCTAGTACGTAACGGACACGAACAAATAGAATGAATCATAAGTTCAGCATGCGAGGCGATATACAATATGTAGGACCACCAAGTGTATACAGTACCCCCCAGCTTCTGTTTAGGCAGCGCCAGGCTCGCATGAGGAGAGCGAACTTAGAGACGTTCTCTTTCCCTGGCCTCACCTTGGGGGTTTCTTATGAGAAGGTACTGCACGACTGTCCTAAATTCCTGTAACGAATACGGGACTGAGCCCCGGACGGCGCGTGTGGCAAGACATTGCCCCAAGGGTTTTTCGGCACTATTCAACTATTACTACCCCAATTTTCCGAAAACAGGCCGGATCTTGATCGACTTTTTTCTACGGGGCAGATTTGGCTGAAAGTTGGGTTCTAGGGGTAATTCGACCTCCTGAACACGAATATCACATCCGCTCCTCCCGAAACTGCCTGGCGCCCGCGCCACAGGCGCCGGCGCCAAAGTACCCTAGATCACCAAATCCGCTGAAAACTTGTACCCAGGGGTAGTTCGACCTCCTGAACACGAATATCACATCCGCTCGGCCTGAAACCGCTCGGCGCCCGCGCCACAGGCGCCGGCGCCGAAACTCCCCAAACCGCTGGCGCCTGTGGCGCGGCAGGCACCTTGAGGCCAAGTGGATGTGAATTCGTGTTCAGGAGGTCGAATTACCCCTACAACCCAAATTTCAGCCAAATCCGCCCCGTAGAAAAAAGTCGATCAAGATCCGGCCTGTTTTCGCAAAACTGGGGTAGTAATAGTTGAATAGTGCCGATTAATTCTTTCATACTGGACAACAGACGGAGAAAAGATAGAGCAGATAAAAAATAATGATTCGACAAATATGTAAAAAAACAATCGAGCCCTAAGAAGGTCGCACTCATGGATAACCTAACAGCACATTTTCGGCGACATTGTAATAATTTGGATTTCTGGCATCGTCTTTGTTGAAGTCATTAAAGGCAGTGGACACTATAACTTGATAATAACTTGGTACTCGTCTCAAAAGATGGCGAGCGCGCTGCATAGTGGAATAAGTGCGAAAAAGCAAAAAAGCGAAGTGAAACGGTCAGAAACCTGCGGAAAAAGCGTTTTTGCCACTCGAATCAGAAAGCAATCCCGGACGAGTTTCCTGCTGGCATCGTGCCAGTACGGTACGGTAAAGGCAGCTGCACGGATGACTCACATCTCCATGCAGCACCACAGCCGATTCATATCACACCCTTCGCTTCGTATTTATTTCACAAAGGAAGCGTTACGAGAAGCATTGGTGGTACATTTGTGGACGGGAGGGCGAGGTGAGCGTCCGGGTCTTTTTGTTGCAGACTGATGGGGCGCTATAAGATGACCTTACTTGGGAAAGGCGTCTCTGCATCGCTGCTCAAGGGCGCTGAATCTTGTTCTGCTAATTAATCCCACACGTTCTGGGTAATTACCATGCCACTTGTCTTTGTGTGAATACGAGTACACCATGAAAGCAACGACAGTTCAACTCGCGAGAACACTCGTCCATTTCAAGGTGTGTCCCCATTAATATAGAACAGTCGTGTATATATCGGAAGTACATCAAAGGAATGTGTTTCAGCATCGGTTCTGCCATTCTAGCAATAAGGCAAACGGTGAGATTTGGTGTGAGACGCTGACCACCTGATATGTCAGTAGTGCTCATTCGTGGAGCACCAACATTTAGATACAATAACAGTCATTTGAAATTCTTTATTTCATGTGAACATTCCAGCACCGTCAATGAGACATTACGTTCACAACGAGTTTTCATTCCTTGGTAATAAAAGCGAAGAAGGATGAACGCAATAGCAACAGTTAAAGCTGGACAGGCAAAAATCTAGCACTGAAGTGAAGCTAAGGGTGTTTCAAGCAGAGATGAATATATAGGAAAATCGGTACAGACTACGCATCTCCTCAAATGCTTCAAATTACGCACATACCCTGAAAGTTTTTGGCTCGACGGGGTGAACGCATGGGTGAATGTATACATGCTAACTAAGACAAAGGCGTACG